GAACTGAAATCTTATTTCCAAAAATGGTCCATATTTTTAGGACATGGTTTATCCATTAGTGTAGATCACCCCAATTTTTCCTTATAATTTATTCCCCAACCAGTTAATGTTACACTAAAATGTCTGAATTTTGAATTATGCATTGTCAGTTCTTGAAGGAACTTAAAAAAAATTAAAGTTTAGCACTTTTAAATTTTCAAAAAGATTTTCTCATTTTAACTAAAACCTGAATTACATGAGGTCAGTCAGATCAATCTCTGTCAGCTGTAAATATTTTTAAATTATCATTAAGTATTCTAGAATGCATGTAGTTTGTTTAAAAATGACCATGGTGATGAACCAATGGGCTGATCTCCTTGAATAATTAAGGCAAAATAAGAAGAAGAAGAAGAAGGATTATTATCTACATTTGATATCGTTTTAATGTTTTCAAAAAATATAAATTTCTTTTCATTTGGTCTAAAATAAATTTGTGAAGTAAAGAGAGGAATTATTATTCACTTTATATGTGCAAAAGTTTCATAGAAAAGAATCGCCTTGCCTATGCCCATATAATTATACAGAAGCAAAAGTCACCTCAACTCTAATTCAAATTCACAATTCTATTATACTGCAGAGTCTAATATCCACTAATAATTTCTATGTATGTGATAATCATCCTGCTCATTTAAAACAATCCAACTGGGATAATATTTTGTCTCTAACAAGAGCAATAAAGATTGCTTTGGGAAGAGAATTATCATTTCCTTTCAAGCAATTTTCCTAAAAAAAAATTCTAGAATGTAATTATGAAACCCACATATCCATAATTCCTTTAGTGCATTATTTATGATTTATGTAAATTCTTCTTGAGCCTATTTAGAATTTTATCCTGAACTCCTTCATAATGATATCCATGAAAGCACTGAACACTGTAATCTTTTTATTTTCTCCATTTACTCCCAAGGCCAGAGTTTTTATGCTAAAATTCTATGATTTGGAGATTACTTTCACATTTAACTCCACTTTATATATTTTCATCTTTTTTTTGAAAATGCTAAATAATTAGATTCTACTTAATTTGGACCAACTTTATTGGAGGTATGCTTAGAGCCTGACCCCTAGTTCATTTTAAGGGCTGAAAAACAACTATTAAGATTGACAAGTCTGAGGGTATGTGCTACGGTGAGCGCTGTGAAGTGTGCAAGACTGTTGAATCACAGATCTGTACTTCTGAAACAAATAACGCAACATATTTTAAGAAAAAAGAAAAAGAAGAAGATAGCAGGAGAGGAAGAATGAAGGGGAGTAAGTCAGAGGGGGAGATGAACCATGAGAGATGATGGACTCTGAAAAACAAACTGGGGGGGTTCTAGAGGGGAGGAGGGTGGGGGGATGGGTTAGCCTGGTGATGGGTATTAAAGAGGGCACATTCTGCATGGAGCACTGGGTGTTATGAACAAACAATGAATCATGGAACACTACATCAAAAACAAATGATGTAATATATGGTGATTAACATAACAATAAAAAAATTTAAAAAAAAGATTGACAAGTCTTAAAATGTTCCTTGACTAAAATACTAACTAGAATCCTTTTACTGCCTATACTCGCAAAATTCCAGAAAATTTGTGAAAATGAAAGCATATTTGATTTCTCTAATTTTAAAGGCTATTTGAGGCTGAAATATTTACCTTACTGTAACTAACATTCAGAATGTTATTGCTACAAACATTAACCCCTTTAATCTTCACAAGCACAGATGTACTGTTATTTTCAAGTTTCACAGATAAAGAAAGCTTTAGTATATTTGTCTCTATATAGCTAGCAAGTGGTAGAGCTGTTATCTTAGCACAGGCAATCTGGATATTCTGCATCCATTTTTTATTATTAGGATCTACTACTGGCCTTCAGTGGAAATAAGATGACTCTCAAGTGTTTTTCTGCTAGAACTTGCAATAACTATAGACCCAGCAGCTGGAGCCTATTAGAAACTGGCTAAAGCACTCTCCACCTGACAAGTAACATGACACAGATGCTCCTTCTGTAAATTTCTGACAGGTTGAGCTTTCTTCCATTGTCATTCTCTGAGGATTTGACACCTTTGCCTGATGACCCACAAGTGTATCTTTTCTTTCAAACCAAAGTCTCCTCCTGGCTTTGGATGGCCTTTTTTAAGCTGGACAAACAACTCAAAACATCAAAATCAAGATCTTGCAAACTATTAACAAAGAAGGTGACATACAATCACTCAGGGGACCTCTAAATCATATTTGAGGCCACAAGTGGAGAATTTGTTTTTAAAAAATATCTTTATCTTCTTTTGTGGACAATGTAAATTTCGTAGGGAGGACTATCAGACTTCTGATGATAACCATAGGGAAAGTTAGTATCTAGGTCACAGTAGCGTGACTTGTCCTGGAAATGGCAGGGATAGGTTTAATTCCAGGGAGAGAATCAACCCTTAAATCTGATATTTGCTTTTTGCCCTTAGTCTCTGTATTGGAGTTAGACTAACAACTTCACGTTTTACCATCTAACTAATGACATGCATAGAGTATCACAAGATTTACAATATTGTTCACTTCTTTAGCTAAATAAAAAATCAAATTGATCTGACTAGCTGGTTGATTAGTTAACTTTCTGCAAGTAGCATTTTACTAAAAAAAAAAAAACTATGTTTAAATTGATTTCTCTAAGATTCATCCTGTGGTGCTACTGATGAGCCAGAAAAGTCAAGTCTCCTTTTTATTTCCCTGAAAGCAGACTATAAAAAGGAAATAAGTTTTAAGTTTGTTTCAGCAATTAGATTAGTCACAATTCTAGGTGGTTAGCCGTGTGGTAAAACGTAAGTTGTCTAGGCAGGAAGTATACACCACTCTCTCCAACCTTCATAACAGTATCTATAGTAAGCACAATAAATATGGGTTGCCACATTTATAGAAATTGGCTAACTTAGTAGTTTTCCATGGAAGAAATCCTTATTTAGCAAGTGCCTTCCAGCAGGGTTTCTCAACCAATTGACATTTTGGAGCAGATAATTCTTAGTTTAGAAGGTCTGCACTGTGCATTGTAGGACATTTAGCAACATTCCTGACCTCTATCCACTACATGCCAATGGCATTCCTCCCTTTAGAGTTGAGACAACCAAAAGTGTCTCCAGATAATTTGAAAAATCCCCTAGGGGTAAAATCACTGGTTAAGAACCACTTAGTTACAAAAAGGAAATAGTTTATTTTGTTTTATACTCATGCCAGTCTAGTTTCTTGACTCCAAAACACTAAAAACGTAAGGTGGACATAAACTTCATAATATGCCTGTGGATAATGCAGAGTTATCAGGGACTCTCCATTGCTGCTTGATGCTACAATTTTTCAAAAAACATTATTTTTTTCTGTAGAATAGGAATTCATCATCATATTTACCTAGAAATCTGAGCCATACGTTAGTTACTGGCTCTTCCCAACGTGGCTCAGACACATTTCTATTTGAACCGAAGAATCTGCTGTTTTCCCAGCCCTAGAAGAAGCCATTAGTTTTATCAGCAGATAATTTTCTAGAAATTACTAATAAAGCTGCACAGTTTATATCCCTAATTGTTAATTCTTTGTGAGAAGGTCAAAAGGAATTCCTTAAAATGTACATGAACATCTCTGAGTCCTTTCATTTTGGGCCACAAGAGGTGCTGATTGTGAGGTTGTTCCCAGAAGATGGATTTGTAAAATTACATGCTGTGAATGAATGTTTGTGCTTTTGTTTTGTGACTATACATCCATATCACAAAGAGGTTGCTCTGGGAAACAAACTCTGACTCTGAAATTTTCATGTAGTGAGTCCATTGGAAAGTGCTCTGGGATCAACTATGAGGGAAAAAGCAGGTGAAGAAGTTCTGGGGTTGGGACCTTACAGAATCATCTTGTCTTAAAACAAGGGAGTTCTCTTTCATGTACCCCTATAAACCAGTCATTGAATGCACTGCCCTGAAAAGGGGACACGGATTGAGGCAAGGCAGATCTTCTCAGTTGAGAACAATTGCTAGAGAGGGGTTGAATTGAGAGCCGGTAGCCATCAGCACGCCTGACAGCTAGGTGAGGGTTCAGTCCTCACTGGGCGTCTACTAAAACTCACCTATTAATAGATACAGAAAATGCTACATAAATATTTCCATAAATTTGTGGAAGCACTGAAATGTTCTTCTAAGTTAATTCTGGGCTTAGCAGTTGGTCTGGGAGATTTACTGAAGTTTGAATATTTTAGACAAAGGATAGTTTTCAGGACACTTGGAATTATTGTTTCCTTTCCTCTACTCCTTTATCAACACCTGGAAATGAATCTAGGGTTCCTGGACTTTCTCTGAAATTCAGAGAAAAGGATGTAAGATCTATCATCAAAGAAAAACAACAGTCTTCTCATTACAGATTATAGCAGTGGGCTCAGAAGTACACATGAATGGCAGAGAATTGGTTGTTCACAGAAAATTAAATCAGATTTTCCCAACCAATATAAGTAATAATTACATGAACATTTTTTCTTCCTGCAGTGAAAACGACATCACATAAAGACAAAAATGAAAACGAAAAATATATTTAAAAAAATTCAAAATTATCAATTACAACTTAACTTTTTTTCTATCAGCACATAAATTCAGAATAAATATATGCAATATTTAACACAGGATGAACATTAACTGTTTTTTTCATTTGTAGTGTCTGATTTTTAGAATGAGTTTTCATGAGATTTTAGAGACTCAGTAAAAATCCCAAACAACAAACCTATCTTTTAAAAAAATCTTATTTTTTTAATTGTTAGCAGCTCTATTAAAATATCTTTCACATATAAAAACTGTATATATTTAAGGTGTACAATATAATGTTGTACTATGTGTATGCATTATAAAAGGATCACTACAATTAAGTAAGATACCCATCGTTTCTACATAGTTACCATTGTGTGGTGAAAAGAGTAAGTTCTATCTTCTGCAAATTTCAAGTACATGATACATTATTGTTAACTGTTGTCACAAAAATATAGAATGCTTCATGAATTTTGTGTCAACGTTGAGCAAGGGTCATGCTAACTCTGAATTGTATCAATTTTAGTATACATGCTGCCAAAGTGGGCACAAAAATCTCATTTTCTCAGTTGGTTAAGCGACTGCCTTCGGCTCAGGTCATGATTCTGGAGCCTCTGGATCGAGTCCCGCATCGGGCTCCCTGCTCGGCAGGGAGGTTATGACCTCCCCATTTTTTTAATTCTAAAATATTAATTAATTAATTAATAATCTCGTTTAGGTGACATTTCTTTTCCTGAGTCCTAGCTTTGCTGATAATGAATTGCAAGTGCTACTACACCTTAAAAAAAAAAAAAGGAAATCAAGAAAAGGAATATGGATGTGCCAATAGGGAAGCACCAGTGGAAATCCTGGTTGTTTAAACCTGCCATTTCTCCAACTCTACCATGAGCTCTGGGAAGAATAATATATAATAGCATTTAGCATACTTCTTATCCCCTTTATCTATCTATCTATCCATCATCTATCATCTATCTATCCATCATCTATCATCTATCTATCTATCTATCTATCTATCTATCTATCTATCTATTTATCTATCCATCCATCCATCCACTTACCTACCTATCTGGTCTCCTCTGGTCATTCTCAAAACTTCTGTGTGAGAAGATACACATAATAGTACATATATGATATTATCTCTAGGTTAAAATTGTGGAGAGCAATAATCAGGAATTAAAATTATGTCTTTCTTGCATTATTCCTCTGCTGAGCAAAATGATGAAATGCACTGAGGAGAAGAGATATACTTGAGTTCTAAAGGGAAATGAAAAGTATGAGAGCAGCATTGGTACATATATAAATCGTTCTAATTTTTCTTCCAAGTGTGCACGTGGACCCTTGACTGTGGACAGGTGCAGGGTGCTATAAATAAGGAAGTCCTTTGCTCTTGAACTTCCCCAAGTTATTTACTTAAACACTGGAGAGGATTAATTTAAGTAAATAAAGATTTTATTCATTTGTCTTCAGCTGGTTTAACACTGAAAGCATATATGTTTGTTTCTTCTCAATCTGGGGGTGATCTGGCTTCCCATCTCTAACTGGGAACACTCTCCGCCATCCTCTTTAATAGTCTTCAGTGCAGTACATCATCTCTTTACAATTCTCTTTCAGGTTCCACCACTTTGAAATTAAGTGTTGACCCTGTGACTTAACTTTAGTCAACATAAGGAAAAGTGACATGTGTCTTCTCCAGTAGAAACTTTGAGAGCTAGGTGTACAGTTTGCCGTATATACTCTTTCCCATGTCAGAAGACCAGCAATTTTCCAGATAGTGAGGAAGACAGGAAGCAGAATGCCCTGACCGATGTGAAGTATGAGCAACACTTAAACCTTTGTTATTTTAATACACTAAAATTTGGGAAGGGGTATTTGTAACCACAGCCTAATCTAGCTTATCTTGTTTCATTTTATGAATAATAATTTACCCATGTTTCATTGAAGTAAATGCATACTGAACAGTGACAAGAGTTCTACAACTTAATGCAGAGGGGGTCAGATTCCAAGGGTGTAAGGGATGGAGAAAAGGGAACACAGTGTGTGCCAGGGCCTACTGACTTCCCTTTACTGTACTGCACAAGAAGCAAACTCTTGCTAGTTTTATGTATGGGGGAGGATTGGCAGAGTTTACCGATTTTACATCCTTAGGAACTTGTCTGGTATTCCACCCAGGATGAATATTTCTCCCTACATAAATAATCTAAGCTTATGGTCATTGAAACCTCTGGCAAACAGACCCCCAAGGTGACCCAAACGATTCTCACTTCTGTGTTCACACTTTTATGCAATCTCCTGTTGAGTGGGCAAGGGGCTGGTGACTATCTTCTAACCAACAGTATGTGACAAAGGGGAGAAGATATCATTCTATTAATATTAGTTTATATACTATATAAGACTCCATTTTAGCAAACTGGTGCTACAGATTGTCCATATAGGGTTGAAATAAGCAGCCAAGTTGAAGAAGCCCACGTGACAAGGAACTGTGGGCAGCCTCTAGAACCTGAAGGCAGACTCCAGCTGGCAGCCAAGAAGGGGCTGACACCTTCGATCATATTAATTGCAACTACATAAATGTTGCCAAAATCTTAAATAAGCTTAGAAGTAGATTCTTCCCCAGTCAAGTCTCCAGACATTAATGCAATCTGGTCAAAACCATGACGGCAGCCTTGTGAGACTCTAAGTGGAGGCTACAGTGAACTGTGCCTGGACTCTTATTCCATGAGAAACATGAGAAAAATAAATCTATACTGTTGTAAACTACTAATTTTGTGGTAATTTGACATATACACACATACACACACACACACACACACACACACTAATATAGGATCATTCTTGAGTCTATGGCATAGCATGTCTATGGCTTATATCATTTGTCCATTTCTGTTGCTTCCTTATCATGAAAGGTTAAATTTTTTTCTCAAGTTTTTAAAATACACTAGAAGTGGGGGCCACAGCTGGTTGGGCATGGAAAACGGAGGGCATTCCAAGTGGCCTATGGCTTGCTTTCCTCCAAAATGTCTACAATTAAAAACATTCACAATAAGAATTTAAAAAATTAATCAATGTGCTTCTAATTAACATAAACTTTATTTCATGTGCAAAAGTATCTGTGCTTCTTCTGTTAGATTACATGAATGTTTTTCTTTCCCTAATCTGGTTATAGTGGTAAATAAGTAAGTGAGAAATGAGTTGCTACAATGAAAATGAGTATATAGGTAAATCCAAGTAATTGAGGATCCCAAGGGAATGAAATAGGGTATAAACATAATATTCTCTTTTTAATAGAGCCATAACAAGTATAGAAATTATGGATGTTGATTATACCAATTACGCCATGGGAAAGGACCTTTCTACATTTAAAATCACAGAGGAGGAATATTGTAAGGAATGGTGCATTATGTAACTTCTGGAAGCAGTTCAATTCACAATTCAACAAATAATTATTTAATTGACTATTAGGTGCCAGCACTGTCAGTTTCTTGTCATTGATGGTAATGAAAACAGAGCAGAAATATGTTAGGGAACATGTAAGATTCTTCCCACACCTTGTTTCTAAGTTTTTTAAAGGGTAAAATAAAATCTATTTATATATCAACACATGTGCCAATATCGACTAATAATCCATACTATTAATTCCAACCAGTGGTTCTCACTGCTTGTTGAACATTAGAAACTCCTAGGGAGCTTTTGAAAACTGCTGTTCCAGAATGCCATCCAGGCCAATTCAATCAGAATCTCTGGAACTGTGTCCTCAGCAGTGATACTTTTAAATCTCCCCAGAGGGTGATAATGTGCAGTCAGGATTGAGAAATCCTGCTTTAAACTATTGATAGAGACTGCTATACAGGGGTTTACTTCATATTTATAGATTTTGCCAGTATGTTTTTATATTGTTTATTAATTACCCTAAGTATATATACTCCTGATGAAAACTGAGTGCTATGCATTTTGAAAACTCAAAGACCTTAATTTGAAACCAGTAATAAATCCTAATTTGAGCATTTGGGGCATCAGATTTATTTTCCCCATTTCTTAGTTTGTTTTTATTTTTTAACAAACTTAACTTACTATAAATCTAATTTTTCTTGAATATAAGGCAATTTTGCCCTATCAAATCTAATTATTATAAATTAAGTCAGTTAATGTCCATCAGGACCTATGTTATTTTATCTGTACCATCATTCCTCAACACCACAAAACAGGTGTAAAACTAGATATATTTAATAAGATAACCTTCCATCATGCTACAATGTATTAGGCTATTATGTAATATCTTTTATGTAATCCATTTTACACATAACTATTTTGTTTACTGTTATAAAGTAAATATTGTACATAATATTTGATTTCAACAATCCTGCCAGTATCTTGAATCCAGGTGATATAAACTGATGACAAACTACTTCAATTGCCTTCTGTTAGGCAATTATATCAAAACATTAAAACTATAAATGAACTCACCTCTATCAAATTAAAACCTTTTGCTTATTTTCAACTCAGAGAAATAGTTTCTACCGTTTTTTCTTATTTGTTCTGCTATCGTCTCTCTGCTGTCCTTATGGATCCTTGTATCATACAGATATCATAGCTTCCAAATTTTGCTTTATATTTTTTCATTTTATTATATCTCTTTTAGTATTTATATCTTTGACATTTGTAAAAACATTTTATACATTTTAAAAAGATATGTTTGACAATTTGAGATTTTTTTTTCCTAAGCAATCTATCCATTCCCTTTTCTAACTCACTAATTCAATCTTGTGCCTCTCTTTTTAAAGGCATTGCACTCTTAGAAAAAAAAAAAAAAAGATTTCAATCTCCAAGTATTCTGTTTTGATTTATATATAGAGAAGATTTTCTTATAATTTGATAATTTTCTATAGAATCAATATCATCTGGAGTAGAATCTTACTAAGGCTGTTATTAGTTATACTTTTTAAAACATTGCCCTATATTAACTGTTTCATTGAGATTTGTTCTACAATTTTGATGCTCTTCATTGTACCATTTCCTTCAAATGCTTGGTTGCTCTGTTTTATATGTGCATAATTTTGTCTACTTCTGGTTTGGGGCAGGGAATCAGAGTAGTCATGGATAGCTGGAATATTTGTTGTCACCCAAATGAAAATCATGATATGTTGGTAGTAAACAGAGCTCCCTGTTACAGGAACATATAGCTAACAGTAATGTATGGATGGTGGGGATATGAGGTTGAAGTGACAGAATATATGTGTTCCTAAATTTTCAGGTCATCATATAACTAGGGTACTTTTCTCTTTCTAGATTCCAGGTATCTGTTTCGGCAGCTCCCTATGGCATACTACTTAATTATTCAGAAAAAAAATACCTAGGTTAATCGTTTTTCCATATTCATTCCTTCCCTCATTGTTTTAGTGAAGGTACAGAACAAGACTACTCCTAGTCTTTTACTCATGTGCTTGGAAATTAGGACCAGTGCTTTGGTGGAAGAGTAACCAACCACCTTTGCTGTCACCTACTGAGCATTTATAACAGAAAGGCTGGGGTCCGCCAGAGCCAGCTCTTCTAAAG